GGTTATAACCCCCACAATAATTTGGTCCAGTCAATATAACCCCTCCAATAAAATGACATCATTTGCTCAAACACAATAGAAATAAACTGGTTAAATATATAGACGCAACTCTTGTCTTTAGGTAACTTTGACCTGATTTAAAAACAGTAAGATTGAAAGAGTGGAATTGCTGGAATGTTTTCAGGTCCTTGGACAGTGTGAAAGACTGAAGGAACTGTCCAAGGTCCTGAAAGTGCTGGAATGAAAGACTGAAGGAACTGTCCAAGTTCCTGAAAGGGCTGGGATATTTCAGAACTTTAGACAGTGTGAAGGACTGAAGGAACTGTCCAAGGTCCTGAAAGGGCTGGGATGTTTCAGAACTTTAGACAGTGTGAAGGACTGAAGGAACTGTCCAAGGTCCTGAAAGGGCTGGGATGTTTCAGAACTTTAGACAGTGTGAAGGACTGAAGGAACTGTCCAAGGTCCTGAAAGGGCTGGGATGTTTCAGAACTTTAGACAGTGTGAATGACTGAAGGGACTGTCCAAGGTCCTGAAAGGGCTGGAATGTTTCAGAACTTTAGACAGTGTGAAGGACTGAAGGAATGGTGATTCCGTCTGTAATTTCCGCATTGCAGAAATCATAGAGCCCTACAAATCTCAGTCCTAGTTTTTAACAATTTTTTTACACACCTGGGAAATTTTTCCATGTACCCACTGTAACATCCTTGCATACACCAATGGGTACACATACCCCTGGTTGGGAATCATTGCCCAAGGGAAACTATGTTTGAGCATGACTTACCCCCCCCCCCCCCCCCAATGGTAAAACTAAATTTACGCCCTTGGATCAAAGCCATGAGGAAATACATGGAGACTTTGACAAACCACTGTGTTCATGTGTGAAACATGTCAAAGTAACATCCAAATGCAGTCCTGATCAAATTTTTTTTTTAAATGGCAGGAATTCATTTCATGCATTGTTGGATATTAAGAAGATTTGAAGTAGAGCTTTGAAATGCAAAAAATACAAAATAAGATAAAAAAATCTGAGTTTCCTTTTTTGTTTTTTTGCAAACAACCGTTGAGTTGAAATACTTCATCAGCTGATCAAAACTTTAAAACCACAGCATTTAAAGCCTATTCTCTGTCAGGTATCCACAGTGTCATTTGAGGGCRAATACAAAAAATGTTTGTATCTTTGAATTCAGTTGGATTGTTCAGCTGCATAGACAAGGCCSCTCACAGCTGAGGTTGGAYGCAGTAAGACAGTCGTTTTATACTTCTTCAAAGATCCTGAGGGTTATGGAACAAAAAGTCAAGTGATAGATTAAATTAATGACACTGGCCCTGAGCCGGAGGATCCAGTTGACTGATCCTAGGCCCAGATGAAGCTCGTCTCTGGTGCCAACTGCAGTCCAATAACCATCAGACAGCATCATGTGCWCACAGCTTCCTCTGCTGGTTAGAACTTGGACATGGCCTCATGGTCTTGAAAACATTAACAGACACTGATGGTCAAAATGTCACATTGTGTTTGCAAAATGCTGTAACCGAGCCCAAACACTTCAAATATGAAATAAAAGCAAACATTKCYTTCAAACTACACAACTTGCAACCAAGTGTGTAGATTTTACAGTCAGTCAGCAGGCCTAAATAATGGACACTGCACCAATGCTCGTCTATGTAGYCTGTTACATCCCTTTCATATCATGTTATCTTTCTACTCAGGCTGTCAAATGTTCCTTCTTGCAAAGAATTGGATCCTGAATCAGAAATACTTTGATGCAAATTTTATTGATTTCAAAATATTTATTCAAATTGCAGCTAAAATATGAAATACTGTAAATATTGCAGACAACGCTGTAAATGTAAACCAACATGTGTTGACAGTTTTGCAAAAGAAGAAAATATGTCAATCCATTGAGAAATAGTTAACACGTCTGCAAGAAGTGACTTCTGCTCTGCTGACTTAGTGATGATGAAAACTCAGTTTCTTTAAGTGGGACAAAGCAACCAAGAGAAACTGAATAGTTCCAGCTCAGTTAGCTTAGCGGCATCAGTGGAACATTCAGTTTAAATTAAGATCTGCTTCTAGGTGGCATGCAGTGAACATTATTTTAATTTTAATGCATCTCTGAAAGCAATTATTGGATGTACTTGTACAAGTGATTCATTTTTGGTCAATTCAACAAAATTAATTCAAATTGTTTCCTTTTTAGCAATTGTAATATGTGAAGCACTTTGGCCAATGGCAGTTTTAAATGTGCTATACAAATAAAGTTGACTTGATTTAATCAGTCTTATCCTACACAAAATGAATACAACTCATTGCATTTTAAAGATGTGTTGAAATTTGGTTGAGGCCCCTGTCACAGTATGTTTTAGAAAAACTATGAAAACAATTTATGACAAAATAACTCACTTTAAATATTTAATAATTTGAATTCCAGTATTCATCCAAAAGAGGCTTCCAGTTGATTACTTTTATTCCGTCTTCAGTGTATACCACTTCAAAGTCCGACTAAATTTTCACATGTTGTCTAAAACCTCAGTGTGACAGRGCCTTCACTTAAGTGTTTTTCATATTTAAAAAAAGCTGGTTATGGAATCAGATGGTTTCTGTGGTGAATGTTGTTTCTGTCAGCAAAACTAATTTTAGACATTTTATCTCTGAAACTTTCAGCTAATAGTGGGTTCTGGGAAATTATCACAAAGTTTGTTCTCACTTTAATTACACATGACCCAAGTTTTAATAAACTTAACTTGAGCCAAACTATTGGTACAATAAAAAAAAACTTTAATTCTGTAAAAACTGGATAGATTTTAGTTTTTTAAACTTTATTTAAGAAGCAATTGTTCCTATGTACAGTTGGTTGAAAATAGTCACCAATGTCTTCCTCACTGTGTGCTTCTTCTTCACACTGCCTACATAAGCAGGGCGGTCACCTGATGGGCTTCTAACTCTGCTTGTGCCCAATGACTGAAATGTTATGTGGAGTTGCTCAAGGTGTGACATAATGACTCAGGCTGAAASACTGAAGAGTTCACACATAACTGTTTATTTACAAGGTTCCTGCTCTGCTGACAGTTCAAATATCACACACAGATAACCAGATTACATAAGAAAATAATGGAAATCTGGACAAAAATGCAGGAGCACAAATTTTTCATTAAAAAACTGTCAGAAATATATTTGGGTTGATCACACTGTCACAGCTGGAAGACTAAGATCTACAGAAGCTAAATGTGTAAAAGAAAGAGGATGAGTCCATTCATGGCCCTGGTCTCAGAGGGGGGTGGTTGGTGTGGAGGGGGTGGGGGGCACAGAAACTGGGTGCAGTCCCAGGTCCAGGGCTGGAGCCTCGTCAGGGGGTGGTGGGCTCTTCTTCTGGGCCTCCAGCTTCTCTGTCAGCTGACTGTGTAAGTCCTTCAGTGGCTCACTGCACTGTGGTCACACACAGGAACACACAGATTCAGCAAATCAAATAAAAAGTTACTGTTTTTAATGGTCAAATGGAAAACGGACTGAGTTTATACAGCACTTTATCAAGCCCCATGGGGACACCAAAGCCCTGTACACTACAGTCATTCACCCAGTTATACACAAGTCCACACACTGATGGTGGTAAGCTACATTGTAGCCACAGCTGCCATGGGGCACACTGACAGAGGCAGGTTTTTGTCAGAACTGCAACAATGAATGAAATTTTGCAGATTTGAATGGACCACGCAGAGGAGAAGGGGGGTCTCTGCAGAACATGTCCTGTGGGCGGAGACGGCCAAAATCGTGATTGGCGGAGGTCTTAATGTGGGCGGAGACGGCCCAAGAGACGTGATTGGTCAGACTGACGGTGGGGTATGAGGCTGGAGGCAGCGGGAGTAGCTTGGTCGAGTCGGGCAGGAAGTAACATGTTTTTTTTAGATTAATTTTAGTCATAACTTGAGAAAGAAAAGTGTTAGCTGCACGAAATTTGAACGTCATACATGTGAAGGGACGTGTAACAATATGGCTCAGTCAAAACATGCCTAACCAGCCTGTAAAAAGATAGATAAAAATCAATATTTTTTTATAGAACATGTTCTGCAGAGACCCCTACTTGATGCAGAGGGCTCCGGCATATTTCAATAAACCTGAAGTATTCATTAATATATCATTCTTTTGAGACGCAAAATACTGTCTTTGAACATGCACATTAGTAACTGTGAAAAGGTGAATTACATCCAACCCCATGTCAACCTGACTGTATGAAATCAAACTGAAACAAGGCTGAGAGAAACTGTTGTTGCTTTCAGGGGTTTTCCATAAGGCTGTTACTGAAACCGAAATAATGCAAAATGACTCCTTTTCAGACCAGACATCATTTACAGGTGAGAGAGAAAAGTAATGAGGCCAGTTTCAGTAATATTCTGGCATCATGACTCTGCACAAAGTGTGAGACAAGAGTAGAAACTGCACCAACCTGTTTAGGAGGTTCAAGAGTTTTCATCAGAGTTTCCATGTAGGAGGGCAGAACTTTGTGGTGCAGATGAAGCAACATGCGCAGGATGTGTCTGTGGACATTTTCTTTACTGAAACACATTCAGATTAAAACAACAGAGATGATGGAATTCAACAGAGAAAAAAAAACAGCGTATACACAGTTTGTTCTTTTTTAAGCACAGTAAAATAAGCATCTATTACAGCTTAGCAGTCACGGGGTGTCCCCCTGGAAGACACATTAAGCAGAATAAATAAACCCACCTGGAGAACGAAGTGAGAAGGAAACCATCAAAGACAACAGAACAAAAGTCCTCTGATCCAAACTCATCTGAGAGCAGCGTGAGGTGTCCGGTCAGCAGGTGCAGGAAGATATCACCAAAAGACATGTCGTTGTAGGTGTCCACTGAGGAGAACAGTAACAAACACAGAGATCTGACTTAATCCAATGTCCAACATCCTGCTACAAATTACATATGAAACTAAAATTAACACAGAAAAAACTAATCAGTTATTACAGAGGAAAACCTCAACGATACATTGTTTTGGCTCTGAAACTATCAAAACTTACTAAAGTCAAAATAAGATACAATTATATAAAGATTGCAACTTTTTCCAACTGCTAGTTCAATTTACTCTAAAGCATGCTAACAGACAATAAATGTATAACAGATTTAAAATGAAAAGCACTCAAACTGGAAAGATCTAGATAAAAATAAATTGAAAGATTTCTCCACAATTTTATTGCTGACCCAAACGTATAGTGAGGCAGGGCTGTACGTTAACTTTTCTAGCTCACAGCACCGGTGCTACAGAGGTTGCTGATTTTGTAGCACAGAACAAAAAGTTGTAGCACCAGCATAAAATGTCTGTTTTAATCTCTAAAACCAAAAGCCAGAATGGTGAATAATATGGTGAGTATTGTTGTAGGACAGGACTCACCAACCTTTTTGTGTCTGAGAGCTACTTCAGGGGAGAAACACAAACAGCTACTTATTTGATAAAAAAAAAAAAAAAACAGATTTATACAGCTCAGATTCAATTATAAAAATTTACATATACGTGAATATTTAATTACTATGTTACATCTTAATGTTAATCTCCTCATGATAGTTATCAATAATAATTTACTATGATTAAGTTAATATTACTGTAAGTGATCAGCAGATTTATCTTAGTCCAGAGTTTTCAGTTTAAATCTCTTTTGATGAACACAAAATCACTAAATGGATGAACGGCACGTAACGAGTTCGTTTTCCCTCTGACAGTTCAGAAATCATCAACAGAGACCCTCTGTCATCGCACTCACGTGTGATTTCAGAGAACAGGATGGAAGTAAGAGGCCTGGAAAAAAACCCTCAGCTGCTCTGAGTAAAGCTACTAAAGTCTGCAGCAGGAGCTGCAGAATAACTCTTGACCCTTTGTTATGTTGCAGATCAAAATACATCCAAGAACATCTTTTTAGGGTTTTAAAGTGTAACTTACCCCAAAATCAACTTTTTTTAACAAATAAACTGCCCAAATTGTGTCTTAAGGGTAATACCTTGCTATTTTTGACCTAAATTTAACATTTTTGTCTAAAATAGTTTAAATCGTCAATATTTGGTCAAAAACGGCTTGGTGCTGCCATCTAGGGGTTTAAAAAAGACTACCACGTTTGGAGTACCTTGTGACGTGTGGTACAGCGTGACGTGTCACAGTACTGTGCTCAGTATAAAGGCTCTCTGTAGAGACACGCCCTGCAGAGATTCAGGAGTTAGCCATAGCATTGTTGATGGTAGCTGTGGTAGAAGCTGCCTTCTCCTCCCCCACAGTGAAAACATGGAGTCTATCAGTCATAAAACAAACTGAATTAACTTACACATCCTCTTTGTGCTTCAAGAGTTTTTAAACTGTGGTTGTTGTGTCACATAGTTTAGATCGGGCCAAAAATACACACACCCTCGCACACACATATTGTCCCCACATGTGCAATAAAACATGTCCACACACACACACACGCACGCACGCACGCACGCACGCACGCACGCACACACACACACACACAGCTATCATTATTATTATTATAGATCATAGCCACAGCCTTACTGTGTTCAGGAAATAATAAAAGAGCTCAGTGACTCGCTCCGCTGTATGTCCCCATAAGTGCACATAAACCAGAACATGTGCCTCCGCTGCTGAGGGGTTTTCCACATCAGGATGTCCGGACCCCTGCAGCAGGCAGCGGGATGATGTCCGGACACCTGCAGCAGGCAGCAGGATGACAGAAACTTACCTCGAGGCAGTGATGGAAAAAAAAAGACGTGGATGTCCGTGATCAGCTCTTCAAACTGCTCCTGAAAACTTTTCAAGCAAGTCCTGGTACGGACCGGTCCGAACAGAAGTTACAGAACCGGACAGTGACTGCTCCGTTTCAGAACATCCTGGAACATCCACAGGTATTGTCC